TCGTGCCCAAGGGATAGCGCGAAATCTGAGGGAAGAAGAAAAGAGAGTGAGAGAAAGAGTTGTCCCTTGAAGGGGGGGCAAAGAGGGGTGTTTCTAGGCTCTGGCCCATTTTATTCCACACAACTTGAAAGTTACAAGTGGGAACAAGAGTTCTCTTCTACATGTGGTTTGAGAGAGAGGGAGCTTAGGGGACCCTTTTTTACATCTAGAAGTCCTCTATTTATAGAGAGAGAAAGAGAGGAAAAGAATATTACATTTATGCCCTTGCTTTAAAGGGAGTTGTGAGGGGTGTCGTGGTCCTTTCATGCTTAGATTTGTCTCGCTGAAGCATTCTTGTTGTTATATTCGTTGACATCAGGTGGTCGACCCAGGATGGTTGGGTCTTTGGCGGTCAGTTTTCAGTGGTCAGCCCTTGATGGTCGGCCCTTCATTGTTGGCACTTTGGCGGTCGGCCTTCGGTGGTCAACTTTTGGTGGTCGATTTTGATTGATGATCGGCCAAAGTAACCGACCAGTTCTTACTTTCCTCTGTTCCTCAAAAGCAAAGATTGAAGCCTTTCTTTGCTTCATGTTCTCAGGCGACAACGATCATGTCACCATTGCCGAATCTGTCAAGGTCCAAGTTGACATTTTTTGGTCATACAGTTTTCTTACTAGTAGATCCTGTAATAGGTATGTATACCCCTCTTCGCATCAATATGAATCCTCCGAGTTATACTATATTATATTTTAACATTTCATATGTAAGTTTTGTAATCAAATGTGTGGTGAACAATAAACAGATTCTAAATATGTATTCTTAATTTTCTTATAGAAAAAAGATCCTAATTTTTTATGAATATGATTTTGTTTGTGGTTATAATTACACAATAATGATAAGGAGAAATAAATTATAAATGCACCTGACATTGAGCATGATGATAACTTTAATGAAGTGGACAATGAATGCAGATAATATGAATGACCAAGTTGTGATTTAGACACAACTATTTGTGAATAAGATTTGATGTTGAATTTGAAAATGAATAACCTTCAAGGATTAAGATCAAATGATCATAATTTATTTTTTGGCTTAAACATGTTTACTTATTCTTATATATTTCTATTTTTTGTGATGGATTTTTGCTAATATCTTGAAGATTTTAATCATAGAAGACTTGTTTTGTTTATGTTTAATTTTTTTATTATGCACAAATAGTTTATTTTTTTCTTAATATTTATATATATATATATATATATATATATATTTATTAATAATTTGAGGCTTATGCCCGATGACTTTGGTCTCATGCATCACCCCATAAAAACTAAAATGTCTTTGCTTAACGCCCAGACCTTTTAAAATATTGTTAAAGCCTATATCTTTTTGCTTTAGTTATGGATGCTCTTAATGGATTGTTATCACTAGACATTTATAGGAGGATATACCTTAGTGTACGCTTTTTGTTGATGATATCCTTCTTGTGGGTAAGGCTAGAGAAAGAGTTCAAGAAAAAACTTGAATTATGGTCTACATTGGAGTCTAAAGAATTCGTTTGAATAGATCTAAAGTTGAATACATGGAATGTAATTTTAGTAGTAGCTCTAATCACATAGTAGTGATTATGGGTGATCAAATCATTAAAAGGTTTGAACGTTTAAGACGCTCGGGTTTATTGTTCAAAGTGATTTGAGATAGTTGGGGTTGTTATTAGTAGAATTCAAGTTGGTCGGTTGAATGGAGGAATGCATCAGGCCTATTCTGTGATAGAAAAGTACCGCTTAGACTTGAAGGGAAATTTTAAAAGATGGTGATGAGATCTGCAATACTTTATGTTGTAGAATGTTGGCCTTTAAAGGATAAGCATAAAACAAAGTTAAGTGTTGCTGAGATGAGAATGCTTAGGTGGATGAGTAGCTTGACACTTAGAGACAAAATGGGGAATAAATCTATCTGTGAATTGGTTGGTGTAGCTCTTGGTGTAGCTCCAATGACTCCAATGACAGACAAGATTAGAGAGTCGTCTTAGATGATTTGGTCACATTAAACGCCGACCATCTGATGATCTGGGTAGGAGAATAGATGTTTTAGATTCGACTTATATTAAGAAAGAGGGGTAGACCTCAAAAGACTTGGGCATATAATGTAAAGAATGATCTTAGTTTATTAGAATGAAAAATTGGCTCTCAATAGGACACAATGGAGAAAAATGATTCATGTAACCAACCCCAGATAGTGGGATAAAGGCATTTTGTTATTGTATTGCAATGATCCATGAATTTATTTCTTAAAGTTAAAATAAAATTTGGACCAAGTGTGAGAATGTTGGTCTTCATAACTTAGTGCTAGTTACGATAACTTAAATTATTAATTAAATGTTATTTATTTTGATCCAAATTAACGTGAGAGGAGTTATAATAACCTTTAATTTGTAGTTTTTCTATGATGGGCAGAAATAAAAACGAAAATAATTAACTTTTGGGGTCCCTATGCCAATTGGTAGTGGAATAAGATTTCAACATTTGGGATATTTAAGAAGCAATTAAATCTTTGTGGAATAAAGTAACATACACTGTTAAACAAGTAGCAAAAAAATGTATTTAGAGAATTAAAAAGAAAAATTTTCTATAAATAAAAATAGTTGGTAGTGGAATAATAATGTGCAAGAGTTGATAAAATATAAGAAGTCTTATAAAATTTTGTTTAAATGTTAAGCTTAAAGAACTGAGAAAAATATAAGGTGACTCATAGAAGAATTTAAGAGAATAATCTGTGACGCTAAAAATTCTATTTTTAGTGATCTTTATAATAGATTAAATACTAAAGAGGATGAAAATTTATGCATAAACTAGCTAAATAAATGAAAAAGAAAAGTAAATATTTAATTCAAGTAAAATGTATAAAAGATGAAAATAAAAGTGTTTTTCTTAGAGGAAGATATTCAACATAAGTAGGTGAGCTATTTTAATAAATTTTTTAATGTAGTTTTTTAAAATACGATCGACCTAAGTGATTTTAATATCATTAATAATAATAATTTTTTTTTATTTTTACTGTCGCATTAGTAAAACGGAAGTTGAGAAGGCTTTAAAGAAAATCAATGGTGAAAAATCAATATGACATGTATCTCTATTGAAATGTGGAAATATCTAGGAGATTTGAGAGTTTCTTGGCTTACTGAACTTTTTAATATTCTTTTAAAAACTAAAAAGAATGTCCGATGAGTGGAGAAAGTTTATTTTGGTCTCCATTTTTAAGAATAAAGAGGTGCACGAGAGTGTGCAAATTATAGAGGAATTAAGAAATTATAGAGGAATTAAGTAATTATAGAGGAATTAAGTTAATGTGTCATACTTCAAAATTATGGGAGAGGGTAATTGAATATAACTTCAAACTTGATACAAAGATTTCTCATTATCAGCTTGGAATTTGTCAAATCTATTATGGAAGCTATTCATTTATTGAGAGATTTGATGGAGAAGTACAGAGAGAGTAAGGAGGATCCATATATGATCTTTTATTGATTTAGAAAAAGTTTATGATAAGATTCCAAGAGAAATTTTTTGGGGAGTCCTAGAAAAGGAAGGTGTTGATATGACTTATATTCAAGTCATTAAAGATATTTATACTAGAGTTGTTGCTTGTGTGCAAATAGGAGGATTGATCAAGTATTTTCTATTTCAGTTGGATTACATCAAGGTTTGGCTTTAAGCTTTTATCTTTTTTGCTTTAATTATGGATGCTTTTACTGGACATATACTTGAGGATGTACCTTAGTGTATGTTTTTCGCTGATGATATTCTTTATATGAATAAGACTAGATGAGTTTAAGAAAAACTGAAATTATGAAGGTCTACATTGAAGTCTAAAGACATTCATTTGAGTAGATATAAATCTGAATATGTTGAATGTAATTTTAGTAGTATTAGCTCTAGTGTCAGAGTTGTAATTATGGTGATCAAATTATTAAAAGGTGTGAACGTTTTAGATATCCCGCGGCTATTGTTCAAAGTGATGGTGATATAGATGGGGATGTTATTAGGAGAATTCAGGTTGGTTGGTTGAAGTGGAGGAATGCATAGGGCTTATCTTGTGATTGAAAAGCACCACTTAGACTTAAAGAAAAATTGCATAAGATGGTGGTGAGACCTACAATGCTTTATGGCGTGGAATGTTGGCCTTTAAAAGAGAAGCATAAAATAAAATTAAGTTTTGCTTAGATAAGAATGCTTTGGTGGATGAGTTGCTCGACACAGAGACAAAATGCGAAATGAATTTATTCTTGAAAAAGTTAGTGTAGCTACAATTGCATACAAGATTAGAGACAGTTGTCTTAGATGTTTTAGATTCAACTTATGTTAAGAAAGATAGTGGTAGACCTAAAAAGTCTTGGGCATATTGTATAAAAAATGATCTTAATCTATTAGAATTAAATGAATATATGACGCACAATAGGACACAATTGAGAAAATGTAATGATGTAGTCGACCAACTTAGTGAGATAAAAGTGTTGTTGTTGTTATTGTTTTTGTTGATTCAATTTTTGAATCAATTTTATAGAATTGTATTGAGTTCCTTTTATTTAGAGCTCTTGTTTTCTTGTCTTCATTATTTGTTTGATTACAACTTCTATTGAGATATTTCTTGAAATACCAAACATATAAAATGAAAGTTCTCTTTCATTTGGAGAATATAATTTATTTAAAATTTCTAAAAATAAATTGATACTTTTATAAACTCTTGGACTAAAATGAATCTTTGCGAAGAGGTGGGACTATTTTGACACCTTTCTCATGAAAAAATTGAATTCATACATCTTTTGGTTTTATTTTTTGGGCTTGTCCGAGGGAGAATTTTACTAGAACCTTAGCTCTCTGTGTGTGTGTGTGTGTGTGTGTGTGTGTGTGTGTGTGTGTGTGTGTGTGTGTGTGTGTGTGTGTGTGTGTGTGTGTGTGTGTGTGTGTGTGTGTGTGTGTGTGTGTTTGTTGGGGCATATAGCTTAGCTTGGAGCTCTGATGCAGGTAATTATAGCCGGCGATCTTTGTGCTATTTGCCAAGAGAAGATGCAGACACCAATTCTCCTTCGTTGTAAGCACATCTTCTGTGAAGATTGTGTATCTGAATGGTGAGCAACAAATCATTTTTCTTTTCATTAAGCTTCTCTGATCCCCATTGTATATTTCCATAGAAGCACAAAATAAATCATTCAATTTCAATTATAATAAACATCATAAAATTGACATTTTCTTCTATTATCTTAGGTTTGATAGAGAGCGGACATGCCCATTGTGCAGGGCCTTAGTAAAGCCTGCAGGTCTTCGCTCTTTTGGGGACGGTTCAACCACTCTGTTCTTCCAACTGTTTTGATTTGTACGGTAGAATCTGAAACTTAATTTATTTCAGAAAATGAGACTAATGAAGTTAGCTTCACAACAGCAGAAACGCCATCTTCCTCCATCTTTTTGAGAGGCAAAGAAATTGTTTCTCCTCTCCCGCCATGGAAGAACTGGGCCGGTACAGTCCTTCATCTCCATCCTCCTGTATAATTGGTGATTTTGTTTTTCTTGCTTAACAAGAACAATACCTCATCCATGTATATTATAACTGGTGCTATTCTGTAGTATATGATAAAACTTATATTATAACTAGTGCTATTCTGTAATATATAGTAGTGTGAACGAAATATCCGAAGAAATGCCTGAGCGAACCGCTCGTAGGTGGTTTCTGTGATGCCTTGATGTGAAATCTGAAACTTCTGTATAGAATATAAGCTACTGACAGTCAGATTACAATGCTGAGTTTGTTTTTTTTTTCTTTTTCTTTTTCTTTTTCTTTTTTTTTTCTCGAGCCCCAAATGATTGTAATGTTGATGTCTTGTTTCGGAAATTGTGGTTTACCAAAGCTTTCAAATGTTGTTTGCATGTATTACAGAATTTGGTGTTTGTTCGTGAGATGATGGATTCCAATGTGAAATTCTGATGTTTGAAATATTAATTGTGAAAATTAGAGATTTTTTTAGTTGATCGAATCAAGTAATTAACCCAAACTTCGGGTTGTGTTGACGTTTAGGTGTTATGTTTTACGGCAACACATGTAATAAGCATGCAGTATGTCTAAGGGGTTTGGTTGAAATAGGATTTAGTAAATTAGGTTTTATGAAATCTTGAAAGAGTTTAATCTTAATAAATATGGAGAAATTATTTGACAATTTTAGGTGGTGTTTGGCAGCGCCTTATTAGTAAGATTTATGATTTATTAAGTTCAGCTAAACTTGAAAAAAAAAATTGTAACTTTCGTGGATTTATGAAATGTTGGATTTGAGGTTCGAATTTTATCTTGATTGATGTTAAATTTGAATTTTATTAAATTCAAAAAGGTGGATTTAATAAATTTAGGTTTATTAAATCAGCAAACACCTCTTTAGTAGGATTTATTTGGATTTATTTGATTAAAAGTTTTAGATGTTTTTTTGCTGAAAATATGAACACCTCATTTAATTAGCATGTTTTTAAAATTACTGTATGATTTCTAAAAATGTTTAGGAGTTAAAAGTTTAATATTGAATATTAATATAATAATTATTAAAGTTAATTAAGTTTAATTATTTTTTTTGTAAAATTATGCTCATAATTAATTAAATGTTTATTGAACTAAATCAATCAAATAAACACTAGGTGCCCACCAAATTAAAACACTTGAACAGCATGTATGGTTTTGCCAGCTTTCTAGTTTGTATATTGTAATCTACCTAATGGATGGCTCCAAATTAGAACTGGTTGCAACTAGAATATGGTATAAACTCAACCATTCATATATGATTGTCTTTATTATAGTGTAAATGAACTAATACTTATGCTTTCCCTTCTAAAGTATCTCCTAAATTATATAGTTTTCCTGATTTTACATACATATATATATATATATATATAATCCAAGTAAATTAAATTACAACTACAAATTAAGCATATTTATATTTTCAAGACCTTCTATAGAACTGAAAGGTGCAAAAAAAATCTATCCACATGAGGTCTTAATGTAAGAAAAATGTGGATGAGAGATGAGATTCCGTCGACATGATATCCGAAAGAGTGACTACTAAGAGAGTGAATGAAACATGAGAGAATTATCCTACATTCTTTGAACTCACAAAAGAGGGCCAACGAGTCAAAATTGAGACGGCGAATGATGGAAAAATGACGAAAGGTGAATGCAGAAATGAGAAGCAAATATTAGGTGCGGAATAAGTATATATGGATTTTATTGTATTTTAATTATATTGATTTAATACATCCAAAAAATAATAAAATTTATATGTGCAGAATTTGCACCTAATAATTTTTCAGAAATGAGAGCAAGGGCAAACCAAGGAAAGTGAAGTGTGAGATCCCGCGGTCATGAATCGTGTAAGGGCAATTTAGATTTTTTTCATTTACGAAACAACAATGAGTAGGAAAAGTAGCGAGAAAGCGATGGAGATCCAAAGAATGACTAGGGCTGTCAAAACGGCTCATTGTTCACGAAGAGCTCGTGTTCGGCTCATTCGCTAAGTTAACGAGCCGAACACGAACAATACAAACAAATATTTGTTCGTTCGTGTTCGGCTCATTTTGGCTCAAAATATTACTAATCAATTGTATATACATTTTTTATGAGTAGTATTTTTTAAAAATTTAATTGATTACAAGGCTACAAAGAATTATAATCAATTGAAAGTATTAATGAAGAAAATAGAATAAAAATTATTAAATTCGATTCAAATGATGTTTTAAATCTTGCCTCAATCTTTAAAATCTTATGGATATGTGATTAGGGTTGTCAAAATGACTCTTTCTTTAAGCAAACGAGTCGAATACGAACACACTTTTTGAGCTCGAAATATAAATTAGTTGAACACGAGTTGAGCTTGGGCTCGCTCGTGTTTGGCTCGTTTACACCCCTAAGAATGAACCAAAAGAATTATTTATATTTTATTGATTTAGAGCAGTGAATTTTATTCAATCAAGACCGAAAGATGATGCTCAACACCTTATATACAACACTTAATTTTTATGTATCTGCAATCTTTATTTACGCATGAAAAGTTTTATTATTATTTTTTTAAAAGGTAAAATTATAATATATATATATATATATATATAAATACATTAAGTTAGGCGGTATGTAAATGCACCTCTAAGAAATCCGTACACCCGCCAAATAAAACAAAAACAAAATTATGAATGAAAAAAGGGGCGTTGCGAGAATCGAACTCGCGACCTCTCGCACCCAAAGCGAGAATCATACCACTAGACCAAACGCCCATTTGTTTACCTTTAAAATTTCTAAAATATATTTATTTATAATAACATATGTCCAAACAAGTCCTCACTAACTAACTCTTGTTCCACTCGTTCATCAACCCTAAAAAGCCAAACAATAATATTTGTTTGTTTGTGCTTGAGTAGAATTGGCTCGAAAATAAATAAATTAATTAAATTATATTTTATATTTTATAGTTAATTAAGTTAAAAAATAATTTAGATTTTACTACTAATCCTTATTTTAATTATTAAATTATAGTTATAAGTTATAGATTAAATTTTTATTGGATTTAATTTAATTATAGTTATAAGAAATAAAAAAAATTATCATATTTTAAATATTAAATCCATTAAGAATTATCATATATATATAT